ATTAAGAATGAGATTACTTTATTCTATTTTATCTCTTCTTAGATCTTGAAGTAGTTTGTTGGGCCTAGATCTGTAATGGTTCTAGATTGCTAATTTACAAAGAGGTTCAATATGAGCTTAATTATAATCTTAAACAGTTTAATTCTTTCTAATACTTTTTATAAAGCTTTAAGTAATACTGAATCAAATACTTTTTTTATGTCTTGAAGTATAATCCATAGTTCCTTTTTGTTATCTTTTATATTCTCTATAATTGCATTAGTATATGTACTGGTTTCTCTATAAAGTTGTCTAAAAAATCTGCAAAGTTGAGGCCTTTCAGTATATTTTTTTTTATCAGAATTTTTGCAAGTCTTTTTGTGAGTATCTTGGTTATATATTTGCAAAAAGTTTTTAGTAATACAATTGGTCTAATATTGCTCAAATTATATTGCTATTCTTCTTCTTTTGGTATTGGATATATCTGAAGCAACTTTTATTTTTTAGAAATTTTGTCTATTTTTATACATATATTGCAATAGTTCTAAATACTCTTTGGGTTTGTTTGTTTACTACTCTTATTAGCATATAAGTAATACTCAAGATATCTTGTACTGTGTTTTTCTTTAAGCTTATTAGTATTTCTTTTCATTCTTTCTCTGAAATGTTTCTATTTAGATCTTTGTATTATAAATCTTGTATTTTTTTTTTGGGTTGTATATTCTAGGCTAATCCTTTTTTAAAGTATTTTCTTAAAAGTTCCTTGGTTTAAATTAGTTTTAAAATATTTATATATTTCTTTTAATATTTGATTTTGTAATTAATCTTCTTGAGAGATTATCTTCTTTAAGTAATCTGTTGATCTTGATTTTTCTATTTGGATTATTAAATAAACTTGCTATTATCTTTTTTTGCTGTTTGTCAATCATTTGACATTTTTTTTCAATATTTCTATTGATTTTTTCATTTTTAATTTTTCTAATTCTTCTCTTTTTTGTTTGTTAAATAATTTTTATAATTCTTTTAAATCTTTTATAACTTCTTAAATCTAGCCTTAAATCTCTTCTATATAGATTCTATATTTGAAATTAATAAATTTAACTTGTTCATTAAATTTTTAAACGTTCTATACTAGCTAGTGAAGCTTAAAGTTTTTCCTTTCTAAGCTTATTTATCTATTTAAAAGAACTATTAACTGTAAAATCTCTGATTTTTTCTCTTGTTTTATTCTAGAGACTTGTTTTTTGAGATTCTCTTCTTAGAAAGCTTTTTCTGAGCTGCTTTGATAATGCCTTTACTTACTAAATCTTATGCTTTATTTAGAAAACTTTGAGTTTTTTTTTATTAGATTTGTTGAGTTTGTTAATTCTTGAATTAGATACTCTTTCTTCTTAAGAATTTTCCCTAACTCTTCTTTATAATTGTTCTAATACTCTTTAGTTGTTTCATTATAAAGAAAGATTGTTCTCTTAAAGTTTTGTCTTTTAAGCTTAATATAACTTATTGCTAAAATTAAATAATCCAATTTGATTTTTGCCAGTACAACTCTATAGTCACTACTTGTAATAGTATCTATATTTTAAATTTTTGTATTATATAATCTATTTGCAAGATTTTCTATAATCTAAATTTGGTTAATTCTAGAGTTTTGTTCTCTATTTGTCTAGAGAAATCTCTGCTTTTTGGGTTTACTAATCTGAAGAAGTCCTTGAAATACTATTTTTGTAGCTATCTGAGAAGAGAGTCTAACTTAAATAGCATATTCTCTACTAAATATAACTTGTTTAGAATACAATTAAAATCACCTATGACTATTAATTATGCCTTTTTAGATTTGTTAATATATTTTTCTAGAATTTCTTTTTGGACTTTCTTTTTTTCATTCTTATTATTTGATAGTAGTATATTATTATTATAATTAACTTTAGCTATTTAAATATGAAGCTAGCTATTATTAAATATTTATTTTTTCTCTTGATTTGACCTAAATATTTTTTTATTATTTGCTTATAAGAAGGCTTACTCCTAAGTCTTTTTTCTTGTTTGAGTTTGCATTTGACTAGAAGCTTCTATAATTTTTGAGATTTATTGCTACAAAGATATCTTCCTTGCTTGAGATATTTGTTTCTGCTAATTCTAATATATCTATATTATAAAATAATACCTATTCATGTAATGCTTCTAGCTTTTGCTTGTTGCTTTGCAAACTATTTATATTGTAGCAGACTATTTCTAGTTTTGCCTTGCTATTTCTACTTTTAAGTATTATCTTCTGTTTATTGTAGTTTGTTTTATTAATTTCTATTTGAACTACTACTTTTTTTTTCTTTTGTTATTAGTATAACAGGTTCTGAAGATATCTTGGTTCAAACAAGAACTTGAAGAATTGTCTGGTATTGAAAAAGGATTTACCTCTACTATTATTTTTCTTATTTCAACTAAAGTGCTTTTAGAAGCGATTAGCAAATATAACTTGCTCTTTGCTTAATTTGTTTAATCTATTAAAAATTTCTTATAAAATTTTCTGTTATTGGTCTATTCTGTTTTTTAAGCCTGAGATCTTGTTTTTTTTTGTCTTCTAGTTGTAGATTTTTGAATTGATTATAAAATTGCTTTTTGTTTCTAGGTCTCTTTATGATATCTCTTCTATTAGTTCTTTTGTATTTTCTTTTTTATTATAAATTTTAACTTGTTTTTCTTTGCTATTTGCTTGGTTTCTTTCTTCTTTATCAGAAATATTATTGTCTGCTATATTCTCTTTTTCTAAATTTCTGTTTAACACTTCAGTATAGGTAGATTTTTTTCTTTTTTTTTCTTTGATATCTATCTATACTAGTTTCTTGTTGTAATAATTAATTTGCTTTTCTTGCGCATTAAAGCAATCTTCTTTACTCTTGAAGTATACTAGTGCAATATTTCCTCTGTTACTATTGCTGTTGTCTTGCTTAGTTTAAGTTGTTGGAAAAGCAAAGACTCAAGTATATTAGGAGAAAGATCTTGTAATCTGGCTATCTATTTATTTTTACTACTTAATTCAGTTTTGTCAAAATAATTAGAAGTTAATTGGCATATGCTTCTCTCTTTAAAATATACCATCTAACTTTCTTGAAGTGCTTTAAATCTTTCTTAATTTCAACATATAATTTAAATATAGGCTGCTTTGGACTTTTTAATCTCTTGTTATAAATCTTTTTATTCAAGAACTTTTGCTTTATCATAGAAATTGAGGCTTTTTCTTATTCTACTAGCCTATATATTTATTGGTAAATTCTATAAAATTAGCTTGTATTCTGGTTTGAGATTTTAGAATATTACTTCTTTTGCTAAATTTCTGAGTATCTCTTCTTCTAGTAATGTTTTTTCTTTCAGCAGTTTTTTTTTAGACCTATTATCCAAAACCTAGATTAATTTATTAATATTTTATGGTGCCTATCTAGACTTATATATGTTTTCATGTATGATATTGTACTTTTTTTTCTTTTTTCTAAGTGGGACTTCTACTGTTCTTTTACTATATCTTAGTAGTATAAGATCTTTTGTCTCTTTAGTATCTTCATTGAGTTCTATATTCTGCATATAGCAAATTATTTTATCTTCTATCTTTTTGTTGTTTGAGTTTTTTAAAATCTTTTTTCTGATTTATTCAGAATTGCTTCAGCTATTTTATCTATACTACTGTCTTGTTGTTTAGGCTCAAATTCCTCTTTATTTATTTTTTTAATATTTTCTATAACTATATACTTTTTTTTCTAAGTTACTTCATAAATAACTAGTTGAACCATAGATTTTCTATTTCTATTCTGGCTTAAACTAGTAAAAATTTTCTTTTTTCTTCTTTTGGTTCTAGTAAAATATTCTTATTTTTCTCTTAGTATTTTCTAGTAGCATGCTTATCCAAGCCTATTGTCTTGGTCTTTAGATCTATATCTATTAATTCTTGATTTTTAGCATTTAATTTATCTTTTTTTAAAAATTTTTGAAAAGCTGTTTTGTAATTTTCTAATGCTATACATATAAATAATACAAATTTTGGATCTTCTAATCTCAAAAATTTTGTTATACTTCTGTCAGTTTGGAGAATGAATTTTTTTTGCATATTGTATATTTCTTGTTTTTGCTTTATTAGCAATGCAAAAATACCCTTAATCTTTCTTAAGGTTATTATTTTAGTATTTACTAAATTTTTAGTTTAATTTTTTTCTTTAGTTAAACTAAACTCTAAATCTGTTGGTTTAGATTCTATATTTACTATAATAAGTTTTTTAGAACAATTTATTTTTATCTAGCAAGACAGAAATTTATTTTAATTGGCTGTAATCCGAAAAATCAACAATGATCGATATTCTATTCTGATTGGTCAATTTAGTTCCATGATCTGCACGGAATGCCGCAGAAATCACAGATAATGCAGAATTCTCACAAATGCATAGTAATAATACGTAATAATACTGTAATTATAATAGCGTTGAAAATAAAATTGTGTTAAAGATATGCTAAAGGCGTTTAAGAAAAAATTGGGATATGCTATATTTTTTTTTATTATTATTTTATTGAGAAAGTACTTACTAGGAATATTTTCTAAACATAACATAGCTTTATACTGGCTATTGTTATCGAAATGGAATTGTGTCAAAGATAGTGTTGTTAGTCGGCTTAGTCATCAACTAATATCACAATTTTGAACAATTAAATATGTAGAAATATGCAAAAATATGTTGCATATTTTTATATGTTTCATTGTTCAAAATTATGATACGTATTAGTCAGCTAACAACACTACTGGCACTAGATTTTTTTTTTATTCTTACGTATGTATTTTACTATCATAAAATATTTGAAACGTACAAGACATATAGCGATAACTAATATATATATAACTTTTTTTTCTCATATATATGAATAAAAAAAAAACTTTTCTGGTACATTTTTCTTGTATTTTATTACTTGCATATGTACCTGTTATTTATATTGGCGATATCGCCTGTTGCTGTATTTTTTATATTACTGCTACCCTCACCACTATGAAAAAAAATGAGAGCCCCTGTTCTATACAAAATTGTAGCAGAAACTTTATATTTCGAAAAATTACCTCTATTGCATATAAAAAAGTACAAACAAAAAGAACATTAGAACAATATGATAGTTTAGAAATCGGGCAAGAAATATGTTATAGTCATTATTTAGACATTGTTGAGCCTGATTGTAATTTTAAAAAAAAATACCCAGTTGAAATAGAAAAAACAAATACTCAAAAACCTGAAGCAAGCATTGATAATAAACTGGTCGCACATTGTAATATTCAGAATCCTGAAGCCAACATTAATAATAAAACAATTGTAGATTGTAATACACAAAAATTTTTATCAAATAAAAGTCTTTCATTTGTAGACCAGGTTCAAATACTTACAAAGATTCTTTATAAATATCAATACGATAAACCTGGTTTTATTGAACTCAGTCCCGTATGTTTTTAACTAATAATAGAGAATGCTGATTCTCATTTGTGTAGGTTTTTTGATTAAATGATTAGGGCACTAATTCCTAATGAAAGATCTACATATAAAAAAATCGAAGCAAAAAAAACTGTGGTTAGTTTTTGCTATATGATGGCCAATGCAAGAAATATGTTTGTTAATAGTTTTGAGATAGAGGTTGGCTTGTATCTTTCAGCATTCGAATTATCATCTGCGGCTATTGATACATTGCATAATTTAGGTATTTGTGTATGTAGTAAAACAATTAATAATTACAAGAAAAAACTCGTTCAAGATCATCCTCAAAGCATTTGAAATTATTTTGCAAATAACGATGTAATTTTTATTTTTTTTATTTTTAATTTATCGTTATTTATTTTTATAAATTAAATCTTTTTTTTTAATTTAGAATAATGTTTTATATAAAGGGTGTAGTGACTTAGTGAAGTGGTTAAGTTGTCGCACCCCCAAGCGATATGTTGGCCAAGTAGGGGTTTGAAACCCACTAGCGACGAATTTTGAATATTTTACTTGTACGACGGCTACTGTCTTTCGATAATCAGTTGGAACGGGATCTCTGTAACCTTGGTGGTACCAACAATATTGGAAGATCATAGGGTATTCGTATAATGTATGAGTTACATGAATGTTTTAGATCGTGTTAATTCAAGGAACCAGAAAGATGGACGCCCGCTTGGCAATACCCAAGTAGAGAGGTAGCACAGATCTTCGATGGTGCTACGTAAAAGATTGCCACCGAAGAACTAGCAAAAACTGAATGAGGACTGGTGTATAGCAAAGCACCCCACCAACCAGGCTGCCAGAACCGAGTCTGTCGGAACCGAAGAAAAAGAATCTGCTTAGTTGCAGATACCAGGGGAAAAATCCCTTCTGGGCCATCTGAATTGGTAGTTTGGGATAGTTAGAAATATAGTTAACAGTCTGTAAAGTGGGTACTGGGGTTTGGGTAAACTCTACAAGGGGTAGTAGGTAATTGTAGCGGCTTCGGCTCGCAAGTACTTGTCTTCGGACTCGGCGTAAGTTACTGAATCTAGGTAAATCTGGATTGTGGGTTTGGACTGCTCTAGTGTCGATCCCTCGAGGATAAATTAGTCCTAAGGAAATGGATAAAGTATCTGAGACTTCTTGACTG